ATAAAAATGAATTGAACTGGACATGAAAATTAGTACACTTTACATACTTTAATGTATGTATGTTATGTTATACACAATAAAAAAGAAAATACAAAACCCAAACAAAATCCAAATAGCACATGGGAAAAAAGTCAGACCCTTGACTTTCTTAGCTTTTATTTCAAGTTTTTTTTTTTTATTGTGACAAGAGTTTTGCTCTGTCACCCAGGCTGGAGTGCAGTGTTGCAATCTCAGCTCATTGCAGCCTCTATCTCCCAGGCTCAAGCAATTCTCCTGCCTCAGCCTCCCGAGTAGCTGAGACCACAGATGCACACTACCACTGCCCAATTACTTTTTGTATTTTTGGTAGAGATGGGGTTTTGCCATGTTGCCCAGGCTGGTCTTGAACTTTTGAGCTCAACGATCCTCCCACCTCAGCCTCCCAAAGTGTTGGGATTACAAATATAAGCCACTGAGCCTGACCCAAGATTCATCTATTTCCAGTGCTTAGCACAGAGTAGCAGCTACTGCAATTAATGTGTTATGAATGAATGAATGATTGTGTTCTGCGAGCTTCTGAGATGTGGCAGCCCATATCTGAAATGGACTCCAAGGTTCTCTCACACTCCAGACCCTGCCCCTCCCTCCTCCCAGCCCACTTGCCCTATCCCCTACCCCAGCAGCTCCGGATGCTGTTCCGGACTTCGAGCCCCCTGCAGTCTGGGGAGAGATCACAGAAGAGCCTCCGGTGGGGCTGGGGGCCAAGGAAAGACGAAGGGCAATCTGGCTCCCAGAGGGGAATTAGGAAGGGCTCCCCATCCCCTAGATACCACCCACATCTATCTGATGCTCAGAACACCTTCCCTAGGGGCTGGAAAGCCACATTACCCAGGGAAAGAAGGCCTGAGGGACTGACTCTGGGAAGGATATGAGTTCAGACTCCTGCCTGAGTGTGGATGGAGCTAGCAGAGGGTGAAAGCAGGAAGGGAGTGGCCAGAGGGGACAGAGGCTAGGGGTCCAGGACTTGGGGTCCACTTACCAGGCAGCTGCTGTGTGAGGTTGAGTTTCTTCTCATACCTGGGCTGAGTATAGGACCAGATTTGCACCTCACTCCCTAGGGCAGCCTCGAAGCAGTCATATACTACAGATCCCTGTGAGGAGACGGTGGGGAAGGCTGGCGGTGCAGGGCTCAGAATCCAGGCCAAGGGCTGTGGGATCATCTTTAGGGACCACTCTGCTCACTGCCCTTCTCTCCCAACCAATGACTGTATTTATACTGTATAGGCTGGAATCTACCATTCACCTTTCCTTCAAGGGGCCTCAATTCTAAAGCACATGTCCTCAGTAAGAGGGTCACCAGGGTGGGAAAAGGTCCTAGCCATTTAAATCCCTGCCCCAACCCTGCTGTGCTAATCACCTGGCCAAAGCCAAGGAGATGAGACACCACAATGCAACATGGGACACCCCTCCCCACAGAAATGGTTCTCACACTTGACCCAGTGCCTCAGTGGTCCTCACAACTGCTGGTGACATGGGCCAAGCAGATGTTCTCCCAGTCTACAATTCTCTAGATAAAAAGATATCAGCTGGAAGCTGGAGGTTGGAGGGGAAGCCAAAGGGTTTGAGTGATTTGACCCCGTTGGAAATAGATCTTCCAAGCACATGTAGCCTCCTGAGGCAGGGAGAAGCCCCAACACCCTGCATCATGGTACTTGCACCATGGTATGTACCCCATGGTATGTATGGCAGACTCTTCTTTTGGTCCAAGAGTACAGAGAAGTGCATCCAGCCCACAGACCTCCTCTCTCCAAACCTCACTTTCTTTATCTGGGAAATGAGGATCATAATAATGCCTAGTTCATCAAGTAGTTTTGAGGATTACAAAGTTATTATATTTATTGAAACCCTTCAGTGCCAGGCATTACAGCCGGTGTTTTACCGGCCTCAACTTATTTAATTCTCAGAACACCCATGTGAGGTGGGACTATTTTTTTAATGTGGCCCCCCCAAAAAAATTTTAGAGATATTTCACAAGGAAGTTACACTAACAGCCAATAAGCATATGAAAAAAGTGCTCAACTTCATCAATCATTGGGAGGCACAGATTAAAACCACAATGATAAAACAGCACATATGCAGTAAAATCATTACAATTATAACACCTATGCTTGTTTTGGCACCACATATACCACAATTGGAACAATACAGAAAAGATTAGCACAGCCCCTGCCTGAGGATGACATGCAAATTCATGAAGGATCCCATATATATATATAATTCAAATAGATTAATTTAAAAATAAAATAAAATTGCATCACTGAGTGTTGGCAAAGATGGGAAGCAACTGGAACTCCCATCCACTGCTGGGGAGAGGGTGAAATAGTAGCGGTACCCTGGAAAACTGCTTGGTGTTTTCTCACAGTCAAGCACATGAAGTAGGACTATTCTTATCCCCATTTTACAGACATAAAAATTGAGGCATATCAGGCTGAAGGGGCTTTCCCCTTCAGCACTGATCAGAATCAAAAGAATAGTCCTACCTCACATGGCTGTTTTGAGAACTAAGTAAGTTGATACCTATAAAATACTGGCTATAATGCCTGGTACTGAGGGGGTTCAATAAATTTAATTCTTTTGTAATCCTCAAAGAGATAATGCATATGAAAGTGTTTTATAGATTTTAGGTTTAGAAGGTGGTTATTATTATTTTGCATACCACAGACTGACCAAACTGCACAAGGGCAGCAGGCACTTGCACCTCCAGCAGGACGCAGCGGGCTGTAGGGTAGGCCTGGAAGGAGAGCACGACTTGGGCCTGGAGAGAGGCTGTGGGCAACAGGGCAGGGATTGGTCAGGCCTAGGAGCGGCAGGCCAGGCCTTGGCACGGGGCAGTTGGGCCAGCCAAGTTCTCCTCACCATTCCTAGGCGTCTCAAGCCCTGGGTCAGCTGCTCCTCCAAACTTTTTCTCATCTTCAGGCTCTTCCCAGTGACCTAGAAGGATGCAAGAGCAAAGCCCCCGGTGAGGCCCCCTGCTCTGGACTGGCTTTGGCACTGGCTTCCTTCTGGAACGCCCAGTGCTGGGAAGCAGGGGCTGGGGAGACCACGTTGGCCTGGGGGTCCTCCCAGTGTCCTCCAGGAGGATGCCCAGCACTGCCCGCGAGATCCCCTGGCCCTCATGCCCACCCCAGACATGCTCACATGTGCACACACACTGTCACAGGATGACTTGCTCACCATGCACAGCCAAGTGGACAGCCACACGCACGCAGAGGTCACAGTCGGTCTCCTGGCCACACCTCAGCACCAGCTCTGTCTGCAGGTGTGTAGGCACCAGCACGGGGCCCAGAGCAGGCACGATGTCTCCAGGCAGGCAGAGTATATCATTGTCTGTATATGGAGGGGTGGATGGGAGCTGAAGCTGTTCTGAGCCCAGAATTTGGTGGCACCTAACATACCCAGAGAGCCAAGGAACTTGGCTCTCCTGGGCTGAGGTGGGCCTGGGACACCTCAGCTGAAGCTGTTCCGAGCCCAGAACTTGGTGGCACCTGACATACCCAGGAGAGCCAAGGAATTTGGCTCTCCTGGGCTGTTGCCATGGGCCTGAGACAGCTCTACTCCCTCCAGTCAGCCTTGGAAAATCTTTTTAAAAGTAGGGATACTTACCCCAGAGTTGGCAGGAGAGGCCCTGGGAAGGAGGAAAGGAGAGTCAGAGTTTGTGCCCCCACATCTAGGCACTGTTCTCTGCCTGAGACCTCAACTTACATTTTTCTGGAATTCTGTTTTCCCAGACCCTCCCAGAAGAAGACAGACCCAACTCTTGCCCCTTCCCCATTCTTCTCTTCTCCCATCAGCACCAGACAGACCAGACAGGGCAGTTCTGGCAGTGGCAGCAGTGACAGGAGCCAGGCTAGGGCTTTGCTGAGCCAAAAACGGAACTCTGGGCCTTCCCCCATCTCCTCGGGGTTCCAGACTCACCGGTGAGCAATGAGTAGCATCCTGAGGCCCCACAAGCCTCTCCAGAGGAAGGACCATGGGGCTTCGGCCCAGTGCCAAGGACAGCAAAAACCAGGGTACAGGCATCTTCCAGGTTCCAGGCGGCACACAGGCCTGAGGTCCTGTGCTGCCCCCCAAAGGGGGGCAGACACCTGACCCCTGACCCCAGTCAGCCCGTGTCTGTGTGTGGCAGGGGCTGGAATCCTTCCCCAGCCTCCAGAGGAGGCAGTGGGGGCCGAGCTGGAGAGTTTGCGCACTCCCTCTCCTGGGAGTCGACTCTCGTCCTACTTCCAGCCTGGAGTGCTTTCGTTTTGGCTCCCGGCAGGCAATCGGCTGTTCCCGCCCCTCTCTGTCCCTCCCACCAACACCAGGCTTGGGAGCCAGCAGCCTTGGACTAGGGTGGTGCCCGCACCTCCTCCTTTTTTGGCTCTCCTCCCCCTCTGCTGACACCTGGCTGGGAGGGGCCCCTGAAGAAGGCAGCGAATGCATCATGGCTGAGTAAGGGAGCTCTTACTCACCCCAGGAGCCCCAAGGAGGACAGAGCCCTGGGGTCCTAGGCCCACTAGGTCTCCCCTTACTAGGCACCCTTGGTCCCCTCACACACTCCTTGGGCCTCAGTGAAACTTTGTGGGACAGGAGCTCTAAAAGCACAGCCAAAAGGGCACCAGAAAGTGGGCTTTTCACCACTGCCTGGCCTAGGCTCAAATGTGGTATGAGGGCTAGAAGGAACCCAGGACCCAGGGCCCAGGGCCTGGCACACAGGGGTCCGATCTGTGCTGTTGCTGTGGGCCGGTTGTGTGACAATGGACATACCACCTGGCAAAGCCTCTGTTTTCCTCTCTCCTTTTGGAAGAACCACTGGAGGGATCAAGGAGATTGCCCCATCCTCCTTTGCTTTTGGAGGCATTGCTTCTAAGAATGTGATAGATATCATGCAGTGTGGATACTGAAGATTTGCACCCACAAACTGACACATACCCCCAGGCAGGCTCTTGTGGATCCCAGCCCCAATAGAGAGGCACATTGCGTTTTCCAGTTTGTCATGTTTGTTTGCCTTTATTCATCTTTTTGGATCTTAGTCCCCCCGCCCTCCCAGCACCCACCCATCCCATCACCAGTCCCCATTGTCTTAACCACCCAGAGCCAAAAGCCTCTTTTCCTAGGTCTGGAGTCCTCGCTCCCTCTGGGCAGAGCCTCAGTGTGGGAAAGGGACTCCCTGGCCCGCAAGGAGGTTTTCTCTCACCTGCCCCCGCCCCACTTCAGAACTGATATGGCTCCTGCCTCCCCTACCCCGGGTCCTACCTCTCCAGCCTGGACTGGGGCATAAGCACACTGCTCTTTCTGGAGTTCTGGAGAAAAAGTGGGAAGCCCGCCCTCCCCCATCAGAACAGGGATTAGAGGAGCTTTCTGTCAAGGGAAAGTATGAGGAGGAAGAGGGACACGCGCGGGGACTCGGCTGGGACTTCCAGCCTGGGAGGCAGGGAATAAGGCTTTAAGGCCAGTCGTCCCTGGTCCCTGGGGCACTCCAAGGATTCCAGAGTCGAAGGCTCATTCAGGGGTTCCCTTTATGTTGTGACCGCAGACACCCGGGACTGCGGTGGAGCTCTGCTCAACCTAGGTCTGCGAGTTGGGCGACCTCTCGCTCGAGCTGGCTGCACAGCTCTAGACGGCTCCGCCGGCGCGGCAGTGCCCCGAGGAGTCCCCAGCTGGTGGCTTCCGCGGAAGGCTGCGCGTCCAGCGCCCGCAGCAGGCGCGGCAGGTCGCGTAGCAGGCGGTAGCGCGGCAGAGCGCGCAGCGGCTGGGGGATGTCACCCTCGGCGCAGAGCCGACTGAAGTAAGCGAGCAGCAGCAGCGGGCGCGGGGCAGCGTGGAGCAGGGCGAGCAAGGGCGCCGTGCGGGGGTTCGGGTCGCTGGTGGGGCGGAGGCCTGCGCTGCTCCACAGCAGCAGCACAGTGCCCTGCTCCCGCGCCACGCGCTCCCGTGCCGCCCAGAGCCACGGCAGCGAGCCCACGCGCGCCACATGCCTCCCCTCCCACAGGTCCACGATCACGTTGCGCCCGCTGCCCAGCGCTGCCCGCAGCAGTTCAGCCAGCGCTCCCACCAGGCGCCGCTGAGCCTCAGAGTCCGCTGTGTGCAGGAGCAGCACTGGCCGTGCTGGGCGCCGGCCTGGTGGCGGGGAGCAACAGATGAAGGAGTGTGAGCTGAGGGACAGCTCAGCTCTCTCCTCTCCAGTCTCTCAGGATACCGTAGGGTGCTCGCCTCTCGCCTTCACCCCTTATTTGTTCTCGGGGTTGGTACACAAAGCAGCCCTAGACTATAGGGTGCCCCTGGGCTAACTAGATAAAGACGCCCCTCCCAAAGACAGGGCCAGGGCTCCAGGCTGGATAAGTACAGCGCAGGCTGGATTTCTGCCCCACTAGCCTTTTGTCCACAGACTCTGTACAGTGACAATCGGCTCACTGGGCCCTTTGCCCTACCTTAACCATTCTGCCCACTTGGGTACCAGAGGCTACCTGCTTGGGTAACAGAGACTGGGTGCTGTGCAGAAAGCTCAGACAGGGGAAGGTGAGGGAACAGCTAGTCTCGGAGCTGGGCAGGTCTCACTTCAGTGAGCTTACCTGACTGTGGGCGCCGCCGGCAGGTGAGGGCCAGAACAACACCCAGTAGGGCGAGGAAGGCCAGCAGTGCCAGGATCAAGAGCCCCAGGTGTCTGTTAGAGACTGAGTCAAGTAGGGTGAGGCCCACCCAGTTCCTCAGTGCCCAACCTCCCTCTTATCTCCCTCTCCCAAGAACTTACCATCTGGACACAAAAGGTGCTTCCAGGCAAACTGGACATCTGATCGCCACACCTAAGGGCACAGAGTCCCACACCCCTGTGAGTCAGGCATCTTCTCCTCCCAGAGGAGCTGAATGAAGCATGGAGCTAGGGGAGAGGGGAGTTGCACTGGCTAGGGAATTCTTCTGGGGTGGGTTTGTGTCTGCTCCAGCTCCTGGCCTGGCACAGAATAGGTCAAGGGTGGCAAACTCAAGTGTGACAGGGGCCAAACTCGAAAAGTAAACTCAAAGTTGACCAAGGCTGCTGTGAGGACCTGGAGAGCACAGGCCCTGACTGAAACAATCAAGACGGCACTGAGCTCCAGGCATTGTCACCACACCAGAATGTGGACACGCACCACCAGGTTTTCGGACTTTTCAACAGAAGCCAGAAATCCAGCTTTGTTTATATATGCATAATAGTGGTAATATTAGTAATAGTCAGGGTAAATAGTGGTAAGCAATTTCTTTCTTTCTTTTTTTTTTTTTTGATACAGAGTTTTGCTCTTGTTACCCAGGCTGGAGTGCAATGGCGCGATTTCGGCTCACCGCAACCTCCGCCTCCTGGGTTCAGGCAATTCTCCTGCCTCAGCCTCCTGAGTAGCTGGGATTACAGGCACACGCCACCATGCCCAGCTACTTTTTTGTATTTTTAGTAGAGACAGGGTTTCACCATGTTGATCAGGATGGTCTCGATCTATTGACCTCGTGATCCACCCGCCTCGGCCTCCCAAAGTGCTGGGATTACAGGCTTGAGCCACCGCGCCCGGCCGCAATTTCTATTTAAAACACTGGTGGTCAAACCAAACATTTTTGCAGAATGGATTTTCCATGGGTGCGTGCCACCAGGGAAGTAGAAGCCAGGGCTCTGTATGTAGAGTGAGGGTAGGTTTTCTTACCAGGACACAGCACCCTGGCCTCAGGAAGGGAATGATGAGGTCTAGTGTCACTGGGCTTGAGCCCTGGGCCTGAAGAAACAAAGAGCAGAAAGGCTGTTCCCAGGGAGGTGGATCTGGCCCTGTCCGGCCTTAAATCTTTGCCCCTGCTGTTCCTCCCCACCACACCCCAACCCCACCATCCTACAACGCTTAGGCCAAGTGCCATCTCTGACAAAAAGGCTTCCCAGCCAATCTGGCTCCCACTGATCTTTCCCAGAGCTCAGCTCCTGCTGCAGTCAAGCACTTGTCAACAGACAGACTCTGAGTGTGTCCTCTGTGCCAAGCCCTGAGAAAAAAAAAAGGCGGGTACAGACATTGTCTCTGTCCTCTAGTGGCTCACAAACCAGGGAGGGTAATTTATCTGCTGCCTCACTTTACTCTCCTGCACGGCAGAAGAGGTATCACAAGGTATCATTGAAAAGAATTTAAGTTTTGCTGGGCACTGTGGCTCATGCCTGTAATCCCAGCACTTTGGGAGGCTGAGGCAGGCGGATCACCTGAGGTCGGGAGTTCGAGACCAGCCTGACCAGCATGGAGAAACCCTGTCTCTACTAAAAATACATAATTAGCCGGGTGTGATGGCGTACGCCTGTAATCCCAGCTACTTGGGAGGCTGAGGCAGGAGAACCACTTGAGCCTGGGAGGCAGAGGTTGCAGTGAGTCAAGATCGCACCATTGCACTCCAGCCTAGGCAACAAGAGTGAAATTCTGTCTCAAAAAAAAAAAAAAAAAAAGAATCTAAGTTTTGGGGGTCAGGAGACCTGGGTTCAGGCTTAGCTATTGCCTTTGTAGTCCCTAGCTATGTGGTCTTTGCAGGGAGAAAGGTTACCTCTCTTTCCTAAGCTTCACTTTTATCATTTTAATTTATTTATTTTTGAAACAGAGTTTTGCTCAGTAGCTCAGGCTGGAGTGCAGTGGTGGAATCTCAGCTCACTGCAACTTCCATTTCCCCAGTTCAAGCTATTCTCCTGCCTCAGCCTCCTGAATAGCTGCAATTACTGGTGCATGCCATCATGCTGCCACGCTAATTTTTGTATTTTTTAGTAGAATGGGGTTATGCCATGTTGGCCAGGCTGGTCTCAAATTCCTGACCTCAGGTGATCTGCCTACCTCAGCCACCCAAAATGCTGGAATTACAGGTGTGAACCACTGCGCCTGAGTACTTTCCTCATTTTTATATGGGGGATAGTACTCTTTATTTTACTGGGTTATTGAGAGCATCAGATGGGTATAGGCACATGAATGTCTTTTTAAATAAACACAATGTATATTTTTTTATTGGTAACAGCTATTATTAATCTGTGAGCTCCTTAACTGCTATATACTTGTATCTCCCAGAGCCTGCTACAGGGTGGGCACAATGCATCCTGAATTGGATAGAATTTTAATTAAAAACTTTTTTTTTTAAGAGTCAGCGTCTCATGCTGTCACTCAGGCTGCAGTACAGGGGGATGATCATAGCTCCATGCAGCCTTGAACTCCTCACCTCACACAGTTCTCCCGCCTCAGCTGGGACTACAGGAGTGAGACACTGCACCTGGTCATCTTAAGCATGACTTAGTCTTACATATTTTGTTGCTATCACCTGACTGCTTGGGAGTGCTCATACAATGTAAAACAAATGAGTAAGTTGCAAGTGAGCATTTAACAAAGAACTGGAAAGAGGTAGTCATGCTTAGTCAGCTTGGTTCTGTGGTATTGAGGGTGTATTTGACTGTGGTTTTTATAATAGACACATGGAACAGATAGTCTGATAAACTGCACCTAGTCCACAAAACAGGTGAAATCTGTCAGTAGTTTACAGGATTGTGCAAAGAACCCGTCAGCTGCTTGGGCTCTGCCTCCTGGGATAGAGAATGTCTGCACAGGTCCCTCATGGAGGCAGGAGAGTAGTGGTAGTGGACAGCTGGGTTCGAGGGAAGGCATCAATATAAAATGTTGTTTGGGTAGGCTACAGCAGTGGTCCCTGACATTTTTGGCAACAGGGATTGGTTTCATGGAAGAAAATTTTTATACAGGTTGAAGGGGTTGGGATCAGGTGGCAGGGGATGGTTTCAGGATGAAACCACCTCAGATCATCAGGCATTAGTTTCTCTTAAGTAGCTTGCAACCTAGATCCCTTGCATGTGCAGTTCACAATAGGGTTTGTGCTCCTATGAGAATCTAATGCAGCCACTGATCTGACAGGAGGTGGAGCTCAGGCAGTAATGCAAGCTCACCCTCCACTCACCTCCTACTATGTAGCCCAGTTTCTCACATGCCACAGACAGGTACTGGTCTGCGGCTCAGGGATTGGGGACCCCTGGGTTATAGACTACCTGAATGTGGGAGGGCCAGTCCCTTGCCTCTGTTATTGCTGTAAATTCAGAAACTGAAAGGATTAGAAACTATTCCCTTGAGGACCCCACTATCAGCAAGTCAGCTGAATGAAGGCTGATCATGTAAATAAAGTAACCAGATGGTAGGAGTCAGGGATTTGTTTGTTTCTATCTTTCCAGGGTCTATTTCAATGAGGTGACAAGGAAATTGCGAGCTGTGCTCTGAGCAATAGGACCTAGTAAAGGCGAGGCCATACCTGGCTTACAGTGTACACAGGGGGCACCAAAGTATCCTGCCCCAAGTCTTCATGGCTCCAGGCAGCACTGAAGGTGGCATGTGTTCTTGAGGAGAAGTGAAGGATCAGCTGCTGGGCTTGGGTATCCATGCTCACATTCCAGGATGTGAGAGATCCTGTTTGGGGCAGGGTGGGGAAGGTTGATAAGAGCTGGGCTTCAGGTGATGAATTCAAGACTGGGCTAGGGTTTAGCTTGGTCACAGTTGGGTGAAGATGAAATGGGGCAGGAGCTCCTGGCAGAGGTCCCTTATAGGCTCACCAGTCTGGTGGGGGCATTCAACATGGCTGCTGTTTCCAAAAGAGAACTGAAAAATAACAGGAAGCACAGGTTAGCAAGTCCAGGCAGTACCCAGTACCCCCACATCTTTTCTCAGCCATGGTTGTACCTTGAAGCAGAGCTGGGGGTGCAGGTCCACCTTCTCCAAAACATACCACTGTGGGAGGAGAGGAGAATTTGTTAGGGAGAAAATCCCTGGGCCCCAGCCCTGCCCTTCCTAGTCCTGCGGGGGGCAGGGGGAATCCTTACCCCCTCTGACTCTTGAGCTGTGGCATTCGGGAAGTCTTTGCAAAGGGTATGCCAGTCGTGCCTCTGGCAGAGGGCAGCTTCCAGCTTCAGTGGGCAGCGGAGTGTCACGGCCATGACCATCTGAGTGTGCTGGCTGTAGTCGGTGAAATGCACTGACTTCCAGAAGTCTGAGCCATCTGGGAAGGTGTCAGGGTCAGTGGGTAAGGGTCAGCCCTGCTTCAGCCCTACCTTGCCAGCCACATCCTGGGGATAGCAGGAGATGATGTTTGCAAAAGTAACCAGCACTATTCCTGGCCTGAACAGGTATTCAAGCAATCAGTATTCCTTTCATTATCTTTTTCTTTTCTTTTTTTGAGACAGAGTCTCACTCTGTCACCCAGGCTGGAGTGCAGTGGTCTGATCTAGGCTCACAGCAACCTCTGCCTCCCAGGTTCAAGCAATTCTTATGCCTCAGTATCTGGGATTACAGGCATGTTCCAACAAGCCCAGCTAATTTTTGTAATTTTAGATATGGGGTTTCACCATGTTGGCCAGGCTGGTCTCGAACTCCTGACCTCGTGACCCACCTGCCTCAGCCTCCCAAAGTGCTGGGATTACAGGTGTGAGCCACCATGCCCAGCCTCCTTTCATTATCTTTCTGTTTTGTTTTGTTTTTTTTTTGTTTTTGAGACAGATTCTCACTCTGTTGCCCAGGCTGGAGTGCAGTGGCCTGATCTCAGCTCACTGCAACCTCTGCCTCACAAGCTAAAGCAATTCTCCTGTCTCGGCCCCCCAAGTAGCTGGGACTACAGGCATGTACTACCACTCCCAGCTAATTTTTACTATTTTTAGTAGAGATGGGGTTTCATCATGTTGGCCACGGTGGTCTCAAACTCCTGACCTAAAATGATCTGCCCGCCTCAGCCTCCCAAAGTGCTGGGATTACAGGTGTGAGCCACTGCGCCCGGCCTTATTATCTTTCTATCCAGCTGTCTCTCTCCTCTCCTTCCCAGGCCTACATTCTGGCCAGCTCTTTGCTTCTCCCCAAACTCGAAATCTGCTTAGGGTCCTCTCAGAACCAGGAATGCCTTCCCCTCCTATCTCTGTTTCCAAATCCTGCTCTTTTTCTGACCCCAGCTCAGGTGCCACTTACTTCCCCTAAGAGGCCTTCTCTGCTTACGATGGCCCTTCTTAGGCTTCTCCCTTTCCTGAGTTATTGCCCTACAGCCTAATCCTTATTTATAACCCTGCCCTGTAAGTTTTGTAAGCTGCTTTGTGCGGTCACTTGTGTCTGAGTGTCCTGCCTCTCCCTGAGAAAAACAACTTGAATACAGCACTTCAGACATCAATGGCCACTTTCACATGTAATATTTAACTCAAGCTTCACAAACACTTTGAAGGCAGAGCAGGTATTGAGATTTTAAATGAGGAAAATGAGGCTCAGAGAACAACTGACAGAACTGGGACGGGAATTGGGTCTTCTGGCCCATCCTCTCAGGACACCAGAATCTCCTAGGCCTCATATTTCTAAACTTCTTACAGTGCTGCAGCGCTTAGCACTCTGATCTATTGGCAAGCTGACTGGTAGACTTGGCAGCCCTCTTCCCCTGCTGACTCCAGGGAAAGTATCTGCATACCTTCTGGGGGCTTCGACCAACAGGTATGAAGGGTGTTTATGTGTGTGTGTAGGAGACAGAGACAAAGGGTGTGTACATGCATAAGGGTGCATGTCAGCCACACTCACAGGCTTCTGGCCAGCTCTGGAAGGGACATCTTTTGCGCCTCACAGTGTCCTCTTGCAGGTATGATGCCTGGGGGAACAGGGGAGCAGGTGGGAAGGGTCAGAGGAAAGGCTTTTCCAATCTCCCTCAGACCTAAAACTCATTCCAGCTTTCCCTTATTGTGAAACAAGCTGCTGGAGCAGGTTAGGCACTGAACAAGGTGGGCAATGTGGGGTGGGGACAAGGGTGGGGAGGAACTCCAGAACACAGGAGAGAGATCAGCAAGTGAGGGGCTGACTCCTCTTCCTCCTAAAGAGAACTATCTCCAGAAAGAGGGAAATCCTGAAGTCACATTTCTCAGCTTTGGCCTTCTCTGACCTCCACTCTCAGCCATCCCTGAAGTACCCAGTGCTCTGCCGGCTCCTGACTGTGGAATACCCAAATGCTCACCTGTTATCCACCCTGGCAATTGCTCATGGCTCTAGGTCTCTGCCAGCACCCTCCCTTAGGTCTCCCAGGTGACAATCTTCCTTGCCTTTTCTATCTAGTCCAAAGAAAATGTTCTGCTATGTTCCTTAGACTTGTAAAGAGAGAAGGAGGACTGCCACAGAGGCTTAGAGGGGACAAGACTTCTGGGGGCATATAGAACCTTGCAGTGGCTATGCACACACTCCTTCCTTGGCTCCTCAGAACACATAGCAATGACAGCTGTCTTTCTGGCTCTGTGGGCTCAGGCCAGGTCTGGGCCAGGGAAAGCTGGGTTTGGATGGGGCTGAGGTTGGAATCACCCTAAGAAGGTCCAATGTTCAGCAGGATCCTTCCATCTCTGACCCAGTGTGGCTCACAGCCAAGCTGGCACCAGTCTTCTAAGCATGCCAGTAACACCCAGTCCTTTTAAAACCTGACTTACTAGAGATATGCTTGACCAACTGTACTACCTTGGGGGCCTAGGAGCAGAGCCATGGACAGCCCACACCTTTTCCTTTGCTCACCTCTATGCACAGACAGGGCAGAAGGAATTCGTAAGACAGTTCTACGGTGTGGCCCCCAGAAACGATTTTCTGTGGATAAAGCACCAAAGAAAGACAAAAGATGCCTGAGAAAGAGCACAGCACATAGATAGGGCAGGAGGGAGCTGGGATCTTGGTCAAAACACACCATGTTTTCCCTCTTATATGAGACACTTGTACTAAGAAATTTCCTCTCAAAGATTCTCTGCTTAGTAATCTAACCATTACCTCTAGGTGCTCTAGGTGGAGCTGCGGGGAAGGAGACTGGAATACATTCCTTTATTGAGGCCCTACTATATGCCAAGACATGTGGTGGGTGCCAGAAACATTATATCAATTAACTTCATGCTAGCATCACAGTGACCTTATGAAGTATCCTCGCTGTTATAAAAATGTAGAGAGCTGAGGGCTCAGGGGTACAGCAGCAGTCCTTGCAAATGGTACCAACTGTGTACAATGGCATTCATGACAAAGGGAGGTTGAGGTGGGATGTTAGGGCCCAGGTTGGGAGAATGGGGAACATCTTTCTCTGAGAGACAGGAACAAAGGGAAGGAGATGGAAAGGTACCAAGGCAGATGTGACCATTTTGTTATGTTCTCTGGGGGGAACAACCTCTTTGGGGAACTAAAAAGCCTTTTCAAAAAAAAAAATTTTTTTTTTTTTGAGATGGAGTCTTGCTCTGTCATCAGGCTGGAGTGCAGTAGCGCCATCCCGGTTCACTGCAACCTCTGCGTTGTGGGTTCAAACGATTCTCCTGCCTCAGCCTCCCAAATGGTTGGGACTATAGGTGTGTGCCACCATGCCCAGCTAATTTTTGTATTTTTAGTAGAGGTGGGGTTTCACTATGTTGGCCAGGATGGTCTCAGTCTCTTGACCTTGTAATCTACCCGCCTCAGCCTCCCAAAGTGCTGGGATTACAGGCATGAGCCACTGTGCCTGGCCTTAAATTTTTAATTACAATTCCTTTTTCTTACTTGTCACTAACTTGAAGCTCAAGAAAAGGCTGCTTAATGCCTGAGTCACACTAAGAATCCTCTCTCTGGGGATAAATACCATACTAATTTCTCTGTTCATTTATGGTCATTCATTGCCGCTCCAGGTCTCTGCCTCCCTTTCCTTTTCTTACAGGTGACAAGGCCCTCTGCCTTTTCTGTCTAGTCCAAGGAAGTCTTCCTTTTATTTTATTTTTTTAAATGTAGCAGCAGGATTTCACTATGTTGTCAAGCTGGTCTTGTACTCCTGGCTTCAAGCAATCCTCCTGCCTTTGCCTCCCAAAGTGCTGGGACCACAGGTGTAAGCCACCATGCCAGGTCCAAAGAAGTCTTTTTTTTTTTGAGACGGAGTTTCACTCTTGCTACCCAGGCTGGAGTGCAATGGCGCGATCTCGGCTCACCGCAACCTCCGCCTCCTGGGTTCAAGCAATTCTCCTGCCTCAGCCTCCTGAGTAGCTGGGATTACAGGCACATGCCACCATGCCCAGCTGATTTTTAGTATTTTTAGTAGAGACGGGGTTTCACCATGTTGACCAGGATGGTCTCGATCTCTTGACCTCGTGATCCACCCGCCTCAGCCTCCCAAAGTGCTGGGATTACAGGCTTGAGCCACTGCGCCCGGCCCAAAGAAGTCTTAATCATAGAGTCTTCAGCTTGTAAGGAGGTCTTAGACAGTTTACCTTCCCTTTCTGGGCCTCAGTTTCCCCATTTGTACAACGGGTGGCCTCTCTTGCTAGCACTGTGTGATCAGGCTTTTTATAGGGGGATGACATGCCATACCTGGACATCATAGGGACTGCTCAGCTCTTCACACTGCAGTGCCCACTGGTGACAAAGACGCACACTGACCTCAGGGCCTGAAGGTATAGTCACCCGAATAGCCCGGGCCTCATGCAGCAAATCAAAGGAGAACTCGGGCCCTGGGGAGAGGAAGGACTCAGTGGCCTTATCTCTTGACCTTAGCATCGGTACCACTTGGCTGAACCCATCTCCTGTTCCACCCTGTCCCCACCTCTGTGCCTTTGTGAGTCCAATCTAGGAAGACTTTTCCATGCCTCTGGATCCGAAGGTTGGGTTCTTTTAGAGCGAAATGCCTTGTGGGAGATATCTGGGGAGGGGATGGAAATGTGATGGCTCTTCTCAGACAGGCAACGACTAAGCAGCAGCTTCCTCTAAAGGCAGAGAACAAGGTTGGTCTCAGGCCAGGATTGGGAAACCTGGCTTCTGTTTCTGCCTCTAGAACCTGAGGTACTGCAGGCAAGTTGCTCAAACTCTTTTGGCCACAGTTTCCCAGCTGTGTAATAGACAGAATACTTTATCTCCATACTCTCTCACATGGCTGGAGAACCAAATGAGAAGCCAGAAAGCAAAGGTCTGTGGGGCATTGGGTAGGGCTGGAACTGACAGGGAGAGTACCTGAGCAGGTGCTGGGATCTTGTGTTTCCTACAGAACTTGAATGTGGAAGACTTTTTGGACTTCTGCACCAAGAGGCCGAAGAAGCTCCACTGAAGACCTGTGTGTGGGGCAGGGAGACATATTTACTATTTAGCCCCCATTACCCCTCCCCTACCTGGAGATGTGGCCCCATGTTAGATAGTAAGTCATTTTAAATCAAGGAGGGTAAGGGTATCAAGTTCTTTAGTCTTGAAAATTATGATGCAATCAAGAAAGGATTAATTTCTGAAGTATAGAAAAAACGATATATACAAAGATATTCATTTCAGAATTTTTTTCTTTCTTTTTTTTTTTGAGACAGGGTTTTGTTCTGTCACACAGGCTGGAGTGCAGCGGCACAATCACTGCTCACTGCAGTCTTGAACTCTTGGGCTTAAGCAATCCTCTCACCTCAGCCTCCTAAGTAGCTGGGACTACAGGCATGTGCCACCACATCCAGCTAGTTAAATTTGTTGTTGTTGAGACGGGGTCTAACTATGTTGTCCAGGGTGGTTTCAAACTCCTGGGCTCAAGTGATCCTCCCATCTTGGCCTCCCTAAGTAACTGGGAGTACAGGCAAGCATCACCATGCATGGCTAATTTTTAAAAAGCATTTTTTTCAAAGAGATAGGGTGTCACTATATTGCCCAGGCTGGTTTTGAACTCCTGGACTCAAGTAATCTCCCTGCCTTGGCCTCCCAAAGCATTGGGATTACAGGTGTGAGCCACCACGCCTGGCCTGTAGCATTATTTCTTTCTTTCTTTCTTTTTTTTTTTTTTTTTAAATAGAGTCTCGCTCTGTTGCCCAGGCTGGAGTGCAATGGTGTGATCTCGGCTCATTTCAACCTCCACCTCCCAGGTTCAAGGAATTCCCCTGCCTCAGCCTCCCAAGTAGCTGGGATTATAGGCGTGCACCACCATCCCTGGCTAATTTTTGTATTTTTAGTAGAGATGGGGTTTCACCATGTTAGCCAGGCTGGTCTCAAACTCCTATTCCTGACCTCAGGTGATCTGCCCACCTCAGCCTCTCAAAGTGCTAGGATTACCAGGCATGAGCCACAGTGCCCGGCCCTATAGCATTATTTCTAACAGCAAACAATGAGAAAAATTAGAAACTGCCCATTCTTTTGTTTTTTAGTTTTTTTTTTTTTTTTTTTTTTTTTTTTTTTGACACAGGGTCTCACTCTGTCATCCAGGCTGGAGTGCAGGCACTATCTTGGCTTACTGCAACCTCTGCCTCCTGGGTTCAGGTAATCCTCCCACCTCAGCCTCCCAAGTAGCTGGGACTTCAGGTGTGTACCGCCACATCCAGCTAATTTTTGTATTTTTTTGTAGAGATAGGGTTTTGCCATGTTGGCCAGACTGGTCTCAAACTCCTGGACTCAAGCGATCTACCCACCTTGGCCTCCCAGGGTGCTGGGATTACAGCCGTGAACCACCACACCCAGCCCAGAAACTGCCAATTTTTTTTTTTTTTTTTTTTTTTTTTTTTGAGACAGAGTTTCGCTCTTGTTGCCCAGGCTGGAGTGCAATGGGATAATCTCGGCTTACTGCAACTTCTACCTCCAGGGTTCAAGCGATTCTCCTGCCTCAGCCTCCCAAGCAGCTGGGATTATAGGTGCCTGCCACCACGCCCTGATTAATTTTTTTGTATTTTTAGTAGAGATGGGGTTTCATCATATGGGATAGGCTGGTCTTGAACCAGGTGATCTGCCTGCCTTAGCCTCCCAAAGTGCTGGGATTACAGGCGTGAGCCACTGTGCCTAGCCCAGAAACTGCCAATTTTTAAGAATACAAGGGCATTTAGTATGTACCAGGCACTGAGCTGAGCAATTAAAATATAGAGTTGAATAAGAAAGAAGATCCTGCTTTACAAATAGAAGGTAATAACAGTAAATTCATAACTTTTAATTCCAAGAATCTCAGCTGAAAAAAATTAATACCTTCACAAAATTGTACGACCGCACTTGTGAATATCCGTCATAGCATGCTATTTTAGGATGATCCAAGTCCCTTTTGAGGGTAAAACAAGAAAAATATCTGTTCTAGTTAAGCCCCACTTGCCTCAGCCTAGGTGGCCCTTCAGAATGTTCCCAATTCATCTCTTCACTGAGAATAGTCCAAGGAGCTGTTTCTCATACCTGAGTGACCTGACAGTAGATGCTGGCACAAACAGCGGGAACAGTGCCAGACTCGTGCACACCAACGCTTTGTGGAGAAGCAGGCCCACCAGGTACGGCAAGGGATATGGGCAGAACTTGCTGGGAAAGATGGAAGGGAAAGCAAATGATAGGGTCTAAGGAGGTTCCTCCTACCTCAGACAAGCTGGATTTGAGGCCAAGCTCTGTTACTTACATCCTGGAAGTGTAACTTTGGGGGTTACAGGACCTGTCAAGGGTCAAATTCCTCATTCATAAAGCAAGTCTGTTATAAAAATCAAAATGGGAAAATGTCTTGTGCATGGGAAAATGTCCTGTGAAGTAGAACATACCATAAAACAGGATTATTGTTGTATTACTGATAGAAGTGAGGGACCAGTTAAAGGGAGGAAGCAATATTTACAGAGTGCCTGGAGATTTACCCATGTCTCTTATCTAATCCTCCCTACAGATCAGAAGTAACACTACATTTTAGTGTACAATCATTTCTACTATGCTACTACCCCTCAGAAACTGAGGGTCAGTGGAGGGGGCAGGTGCACAGTCTGAGGCCACATGGGAGTCTGGCAGAACAGCAATGTGAATCCAGGCTTGTCATGATTCCAAACTTTTTTCTTGATATTGTGCTACTTCCCAGGTTGGGAACCAAAAATTAGAATGGAGGGCTTGCTGGGCATCTGGAAAAACAGTGGGCATGGGGAGGAACAATGGGTCAGGAAATGCGACTCACCAGTGAAACTGTCATCCTGAGGCAAAGGGCCCAGCAGGGAAAAGAAAGGAAAGAGCTATTATTAGGAGGGACTCCCAAAAGGAGCATTCCTGGGTTCTTTGCCTCAAATCAGCGAATTCTGAGCCCCATAGCTAATAGCCCATACCATCTGGCTCTTTTCTTCCCAGCTCCACCCCGTCCAGGCCTTCAGCACAAAGGATCTCGACTACCCCTTTGAGACTATGTAGAGGATACACCGAAGCTGTCACCAGAGCACAGGGACTGGGGAGGTAGCACAGGGACTGGGGAGGTAGCACAGGGACTGGGGAGGTAGCACAGGGCAGGCAGGGGAGCAGCGAGCTTTATGGCTGTGCCAGGCAGGTGTCCCTACCTGGCAGCAGCACCTTACCATGTGGGAGGCCAGAGGACCCCGGGTGTTCCAGTGGGGCAGGTGGGGACAGCCAATACCAGCAGAGTCAGAGAGGTCAATGAGTATCAGGAGGAGAGGCAGGAGCAGGGCTGCTGGTCTGGAGCTCCCCATGGGCTTCTATGCAGTTAAGGCTCCTGGAACATGGCTGCATGGCCTGAAGGTGGGTGGCAGGGCCTTGCTGTGCAGCAGCAAAGAACACAGAAACAGCAGGAGCCCTTGCCTGAGCCTGCCCGGGCCCCGCCCTGACCCCGCCCTGCCCGAAAGCTCCTCCTCGATCCTAACCACCCAGCCAGGCCACATTCCTTCTCCTCCAAGTGGAAGGACTGAAGGAAGCTTATGCCCCCCAAAACCCTACTGCCCCCACCTGAAAGACAAGGGGCTCCTGCTGTGGCTGAGAAGTAACAGGAAAGGAGCTAGCATCAAGTTGGGGGGCTCACCCATTTCTTAGCCCCTCCTACTCCTGAAACACACTGCAGATTTGACCCACCATCAGCACACTCCTAAACTTGTGTCTCCCACGGACGAGCTTAACCCCTTTACTTAGAGAATTAACAGATCTCTGGGTGCTAGAGATACAGAGGTGACTGAGGCACCGTTTAGAGAGGGGAGAAAAAAATGCACTCTGGGATGTATGTAAACCCCATATATATCTTGGCTTCCCACCTGGTTAACTCTCAGGACTATAACCGAGCTCTCTCTACCCATGAGCCAGGTCCAGCTCTTCTACGCAAAGGGCTTCATGTCAAAGGGGCCTCTAGCTTCACCGACCTACTAGTCACTACAGCCTGATCAGGAAGCCCCAGAACTCACAGCTGAGACCTGGAGCAGAGGGAGCGGGCCCCATGCACTGACCTGGTTTCCTTGGTTTCCGGTGCTGGAGAAAGGCTGACGAGGCTCCATCTTTGTGGGAACCCTCCCCATCATCCCACAGCTTCCTCCCCCTCATGGAGCATTTGAACTGCTTCAGCCCGCACCTTGGTAACACACACACTGGAAAAAAAGTTTGGGGCACATCTAGCAAGTCAAGGCATCTTGAGATTGTTATTATCCCCCTGTAACTCGTTCTAGACCACCTTTCAGTAGCCTAACCCCAGCCTGCTTTTGGCCAATTCTATTCGTCTTTAGGTTCATTGTCTGAAGGCTGCATCCTACCCATTATCCTAAAAATACCCTCTAGCTTTTGAGTTCATGAAAGGATTAAAAACTCTTATTCTTTATGTTTCTCCAAGACTAGCAGTGGATATCATGATGTACTGTGTAACTGAATAAATGTCACGATACATTTCAATTATGTAATTTATCTATTTCACACTTCACAAAGCACTTTCATATTTAATCCTTCTAACCCTACCTTGTGAGACAGGTGATAATTATTGTTTTCATTTCATAAAAAGAGAGATAAGGAAGCAGACTGATAATGACTTTGTCAAGGTCAAAGTCTATATCCCAGGGAGCTCCACTTTTGCTAGGCCCTCGCAACTCAATTCTTTTTTTTTTTTTTTGAGATGGAGTCTCACTCTGCCACCCAGGGTAGAGTGCACTGGCACAATCTCAGGTCAGTCCAACCTCTGCCTCTCAAGTTCAAACATTTCTCCCACCTCAGCCTCCCGAGTAGCTGGGATTACAGCTGTGTGCCACCACACCAGGCTAATTTTGGTATTTTTAGTAGAAACGGGGTTTTACCATGTTGCCCAGGCTGGTCCCGAACTCCCGACCTAAGGTGATCCAAGCCCGCCTTGGCTTCCCAAAGTGCTGGGATTACAGGCATGAATCACAGTGCCAGGACTTTTTTGAGATAGTCTCGCTCTGTCACCTAGGATGGAGTGCAGTGGTGCAATCTTGGCTCACTGCAACTTCCACCTCCTAGGTTCAAGTGATTCTTGTGCCTCAGCCTTCTGAGCAGCTGGGATTACAGTTGCGCACCACTATGCCTGGCTAATTTTTGTATTTTTAGTAGAGACAGGGTTTTGCCATGTTGGGCAGGCTGGTCTTGAACTCTTGGCCTCAAGTAATCCACCCGCCTCAACCTTTGAAAGTGCTAGGATTACAGGCATGAGCTGCTGTGCCTAGTCCCAACTCTCTATCATCCTATGGTCTCCTCCCCTCCCATGGCCTCATCCTCCTTTGCTTGCCTGACATAGACCCTAACACAGTATTGCTTTTTGGCCTTGAAGCCAATCTCTGCAAATAAAACAGTAAGATCTGAAGGGAGGAAAGGGTGGCTTGACATACTGAGAATAGATTAGGGAGACTTCCCCCAAATTCTGCCTAACTCACAGTGGTTTAGAACTATATAAATTATTTTTTCTTTTATTTTTTCTTTTATTTATTTTTTTTTTTGAGACAGAGTCTCACTCTATCACCCAAGCTGGAGGACAATGGCATAATCACCACTTACTGCAGCCTCCACCTCCTGGCCTCAAGTGAATCCTTTTACAGGCACATGCCATTTTGCCTGGCTACAGCATCTGGCTATGATGCTCAGGCTGGTCTCCCAACTCCTGATCTCTAGCAATTCTCCTGCCTCTGCTTCCCAAAGTGCTGGGATTACAGTTGTGAGCCACGGCGCCTGGCCAATAATGAGTTCTCCTAATGCTGGAGGGATAAAGTGAGAAACTTGATTCTAAAACAATCCTTCTTAACTGTTATCTTCTGATCTCTCACAGAGAAAATATCTCCTGGTTAAGCTATGGGAGGAAAAGCAGAAAAGAAATAAAGAAATGGAGAAGGAAGGAAGGGAGGGAGGGAAGAAGGAAGAAAGGGAGGAAGGGCAGAAGGGAGGGAGGGAGGACGGGAGGAGAGGAGAGAGGGAAAGAGGAAAGAAAGGGAAGAAAAACAGCATTCCAGGACCCGCTGGAAAAGTAAAAGGAATAAAGGTGAGAAAGAAATGGGAGGAAAGCAAAGGAGGTGGGCATTTTATTTATTGTCTTGCTGGTTTATTTATTGTGGACACTGTTCCAAAATGTATTTAAGGTAAGAAGCACAGGGGTGAATTCTGGCACAACCTAGGGATGGGGAGGGATGGGATCAACATTTGCTGAAATCCTACTATCAGGCTTTGGGTCATACATTTTGCCCAGTTTGTTTGTACTACAACCCTTGAGTTCAGTTTTATTACCCCATTTTACAGACTGGGAAATAGGAAGATTAGGTAAAGTCCAAACACAGCTAAGAGATGAAGTCAGCCCCTCACTTGTTGATCTCTCTCCTATGTTCTGTAGTTCCTTCCCATATTGTACCACCCAGGCAGCTTGCATCATGGTTAGGTAAAGCCAGAATGAGTTTTAGGTCTGAGTGAGACTGGAAAAAGCCTTTCCTCTGACCCTCCCTACCTGCTGCCGTTCCCCCAGGCATCCTACCTGCAAGAGGACACTGTGAGGTGCAAAAAAATGTCCCTTCCAGAGCTAGCTGGAAGCCTAAGTGTGGCTGACATGCACCCTTGTGCACACACATGCCCTGTCTCTGTCTCCTACACACACACTTCACACCTGTGTTGGTGGAAGCCCCCAGAAGGCATGCAAGTACTTTCCCTGGAGTCAGTGGAGGAAAGGGGCTGCCAAATCTACCAGTCAGCCTGCCAACAGATCACAGAGCACTGAGCGCTGCAGCACTGTGAGAAGTTCAGAAATATGAGGCCTAGGAGATGGTGTCCTAAGAGGATGGACCAGAAGACTTGGGTTCCCATCCCTGTAAATTATTCTTCTCTGAGCCTCACTTTTCTCATCTGGGACTTACCACTATGTCTTCCTGGCTCTTTCTGCCAGAGCACACTACTTAGCGAGATCAGAGGGTTTCTGGACCATGTAGTTCTCAGAAAGTACTAAACTTAGCAGTGCGATACAACTAGCAGGGTTAACAATGTAAAGAAACTGAAATTGTTGGAAAGAAAGGAAAGTAGATTTTATAATCATGAGTTACCAGTGGTTAGACTTGTAGGAGAGTTGGGATTGTTTGGCAAGTGTCAATAAGGGAGGAGCAAACGTGGCTGGAATAGGTGGTGGCCAATTGGAATAAAGGCAACAGAGGTGTGTTGTAAGGCCTGACTCAGCTGTAGTTTGTGTCAAAATGAGCTGACCAAGACTTCATGCTTAATAGCCTTTACTTGGGGACCAAGTCAGGAGCTCAGGAAGTCCTGGCAGGCCCCTGTACATGCTTAGGAAAGAGTGCACTGTGGGGACCTTGGGCAGCTGTTTTTCTTATCACAGCCTTATCTGTGAATGAACTCTGGTCAGACCATGGAACAGTAGCTCCAGGTTCTTTCTGTAATGGCCAATTTCTAATGTCTTCTGGGACAACTCTGTTCACTGATAGGGAACCCTGGGCAGGAAGGCCCACCAAGTAGATCATTGTCCACCAAGAGTGGACAAGTATCCCTTCTTTATATCTGCTCTTCCAGAAGGATCAACCTCCAGAATTTTTTTTTTTTTTTTTGAAACAGAGTCTTGCTCTGTCACCCAGGATGGAGTGCAACGGCACGATCTTGGCTCACTACAACCTCTGCCGCCTGGGTTCAAGCGATTCTCCTGCCTCAGCCACCTGAGTAGCTGGTATTACAGGCATGTGTCACCATGACCGGGTAATTTTTGTATTTTTGGTAGAGAAGGGGTTTCTCCATGTTGGTCAGGCTGGTCTTGAACCCCCAACCTCAGGTGATCCACCCGCCTTGGCTTCCCAAAGTGCTGGAATTACAGGTGTGAGCCACCAGCCCCGGCCAACCTCCAGAATTCTGAGGCAAGAAATTACTACTGAGAGATACAGACTCCCCAGTCTTAATGAGGAAGCCATCACTGCTCATCAAGAGAAGGCATTGTTACTTATTAAACCCCAACTATGTACTAGCCTGTTCATACAAAACTACCCTGGGGGTAGCTAAAATGATGCCCATCTGTCAGATCAAAAACAGAGGCTCAGGTATCCTGCTCAAGGCAAAAGTCAGTAAAATGTCTGGCTGGAATTCATACCTATGTCATCAGTCTAACATCAGAAACTGTTGGCCAGGCACAGTGACTCATGCCTGTAATCACAGCACTTTGGGAGGATGAGGTGGGCAGATCACTTAAGGTAAGGAGTTTGAGATCAGCCTGGCCAACATGGTGAAACCCCTTCTCTACAAAAATTTGCCAGGTATGAGCAGACATTGCGCCACTGCACAGCCTGGGTGACAGAGTGAGTCTCAAAAAAAAAAAGGAAACTGTTCATTCTACTATACCACATTGCCGTGATGATCTCTAATAGTCCCTTCAACTCCTATTTTCTCTAGTCCTATAAATATCAGGAAATAACCATCTTTCACATTTGCATAATACTACACAGTTCATAAAGCACTTTCACAATATTTCACCTTATCTTTTTTTTTTTTTTTTTTTTTCTGAGACACAATCTGGCTCTTGTTGCCCAGGCTGGAGGGCAGTGGCGCAATCTTGGCTCACTGCAACCACTGCCTCCTGGGTTCAAGCGATTCTTCTGCCTCAGCCTCCAGAGTAGCTGGAATTAGAGGCACCTACCACCATGCCCAGCTAATATTTGTATTTTTAGTGGAGACAGGGTTTCACCGTGTTGGCCAGACTGGTCTCAAATTCCTAACCTCAGGTGATTTGCCTGTCTCAGCCTCCCAAAGTGCTGTGATTACAGGTATGAGCCACTGCGCCCAGCCACCTTATTTGATCTCTAAAACAATCTGTGAAATACGGAGGGCTGATTTTAGTCCTATGATTGGTAGTTGCATTGGTACTTGAACATGTCTTCTGATTCAAATAATGTTCTTTCTACTAAATCAAGATCCAATAAGGGAATCTTGTTTGCTTCAGGGAAAACTACAACCATGAGGCAGGAAAAAGTAATAGTAAAAGGAAAATTGCAACCACCTAAGAAGCAGAAAACTAACATAAACCAAATGATTTTGGGTGGTTTGCATTGTTGACAATAATTTTCATAATGGGTCTTTAACAGTACTCTAAGTCCATAAATTACCATTCCAGTGCGGTAGCTCACGCCTGTAATCCCAGCACTTTGAGAGGCTGAGGTAGGCAGATCATCTGAGGTCAGGAGTTCAAGACCAGCCAGACCAACATGGAGAAACTCCATCTCTACTAAAAATACAAAAAATTAGCCAGTTGTGGTAACACATGCCTGTAATCCCAGCTGCTCAGGAGGCTGAGGCAGGAGAATGGCTTGAATCCAGGAGGCGGAGGTTGTGGGGAGTCAAGATCACACCATTGCACTCCAGCCTGGGCAACAAGAGCGAAACCCCATCTCCAAAAAAAATAGTAATACCATTCCAGTAACCAAAGAAATTTCAAACTATTTGCATCCCAATTCTTTAAAAATGAGCAATCTATGTCTGGTGCACATACTAACTCCATTATTCATACATTTCCATCTACTTCTGCTCTCCAAATTTCATCTCTACTTCAGTTTGGTTTTATCCTCTGTGAAATACACCCTGACTTTAGTTTACAATAATTCTGTCAAGAATGCATGTGAGGCCAAGCACAGTGACTCAGGCCTATAATCCCAGCACTCTGGGAGGATGAGGCAGGAAGATCACCTGAGGTCAGGAGTTTGAGACCAACGTGGCCAATATGGTAAGATCCTGTCTCTACTAAGAATACAAAAATCAGCCAGGCATGGTGCCACTCCCAGCTACTCAGGCTGAGGCAGGAGAATCACTTGAACCTGGGAGGGAAAGTTGCAGTGAGCCCTGATCACCCCACTGCACTTTAGCCTGGGGAACAGAACAAGACTCTGCCTCAAAAAAAATAAATAAATAAAAAATAAAAAAATAAAAAGAATTGCATGTGTCTTTTACACCTCTTGTGCAGTACCTAAAATCCATAAGATAAGAACTCAAAAGCTGGGTGTGGTGGCTCATGCCTGTAATCATGAGGCAGGCAGATCACAGCATCAGGAGATGGAGACCATCCTGGCTAACATGGTAAACCCCGTCTCTACTAAAAATACAAAAATTAGCCAGGTGTGGTGGCATGTGCCTGCAGACCTAGCTACTCAGGAGGCTGAGGTAGGAGAATTGCTTGAACCTGGGAGGCAGAGGTTGCATTGAGCTAAGATCATGCCACTGCACTCCAACCTGGGTGACAGAAGGAGACTGTCTCAAAAAAAAAAAACAAAACAAAAACAAAAAACAGGCCAGGCACGGTGGCTCAAGCCTGTAATCCCAGCACTTTAGGAGGCAGAGGCGGGTGGATCACGAGGTAAAGAGATCGACACCATCCTGGTCAATATGGTGAAACTCTGTCTCTACTAAAAATACAAAAAATTAGCTAGACATGGTGGCGCCTGCCTGTAATCCCAGCTACTCATGAGGCTGAGGCAGGAGAACTGCCTGAACCTGGGAGGTGGAGGTTGCGGTGAGCCGAGATCGTGCCATTGCACTCCAACCTGGGTAACAAGGGCGAAACTCCGTCTCAAAAAAAACAAAAACCAAAAACCAAAAACAAAAAAAACAACAAACTCAGAATTCACGTTCCTTGAAGGAACCAGAAAGCTCAATAATTAACATATTAACTGGGTCTAAAGGGATAATTAATAAAGCAATGTAAAAACAGAAAAGGGAAATTTTTAAGCAAAGGAAACTGGGAAACCATGAAACCTACATGGGGATCCATAAGAGGTTTAGTTGACTAAGACAGTGTGAGACTGGAAGTATTAGGAAATAATGCAGGACTGATGGATTGGGACCACTTTGGAAATCTCAGAGCTTAAGGCATTTAAGTTGTACCACTTAATAGTAGGGACTTAATGATCATGGAACAGATGTTCCAGAGCTATACTCTTGGTATACTCACTGGAACACAGGGATGTAGAAAGAGGAATGGGTATGAGGCAGAAAGGCGAAGGTCTGTTTGGGACATACTGATTTTGAGATGATAATTATGACATCTAGAGGAAGAGGTTTTAGAGTTGCAAGTACTGTCACCCAGGCACAAGTCACGCCTGTAATCCAAGCACTTTGAGAGGCCAAGGCAGAATTTCTTGAACTTGGTACGTAGAGGTGAGCTATGTCGCCACTGCATTCCAGCCTGGATGAGGGAAATAAAATCCTGCCTTAAGAAAAAAAAAGTGACTCAGTAATAGTCACTAGGTACATACATAATGTTTATAGAACAAAATAATGACTACGACTCTGGAGAGGGCAGAGCTCCACAATTAGAGATCTGGGCATCATCCAGAGACAATAAAGTCAAGTGCAAAGAGATACATTTCTTCCATGTGATAAATACTGTGCGTCCGAATTTTAGGTGTGAAAGCACCTTTAGTTTAATCACAGATCTCTCCCTGTCTTTAATGTACTTGCTCCACCATTAGATAGTATGTTCACTGGTTTCACATGAATAACAAGTTTCTACTAGATTATAAATAAACTCCCCATAAACAGAGGTACTTTAAAATTCTTTTGGTTGCCATTAGACAGTAACAGACTCATTAACTCTGAATGGTAAATGTGAATATCCAACTAAAAGAGCCCATAACCTAAGCTAGATAAATGAGAATGGACCATTTCATAGATGGAGAGATTAAATGTCTGGCCCATGGTAGTTCTTACCAATCAGCTGTAGGTTAGAAATATGACTTAGGTTCCCCCTGCCCAATCTACTTGTATGGCCATTGCTAGATTTCTCAGCTTTTATCCATCTTCTCGTAGTGTCTAAGGCCACACCTTTCATACTCTATCAAGCACCAAACACAAGGCACAGTGGGGACAGGGCCATTTTTATTGAGATTTTTAATTAAAATGGTTTGCAGAAGAGACCACAGCCTGGAGGAGGAACAGCTTCCCAAACGCTTCCTGACCATGACCTACAGATGAAGAATTTGATTTATTCCCTATTTCCTTCACTCTTGGTGGCTAAGGGGTAATGGCTGGAAATGGGGAGAATGACTGAGAGGAAGCAAGGATGAAGCTCATTCTTAAAAGAAAAACCTCAAAACGCCCCAACTTCAAACAACTGAAGTTTGTTTCATAGCTGTTGGTCACCCAGTTCTACCCAACCAGGAATAAATTACAGTTTTGCCACCTCAGCAGATTGCAACAGCTTTCCAGAACTTTGGCCTGGTCTGCACCAGGTACCAACATCACAGCTGCTAAAATCACCAGAAGGGATTTTAGAACCGCTCTATTCCTGTCCCTTCGTTCAATGAGAGGTCCAGGCTTCACCCCTAAGAGCAGTCCATTGGGCTTCATTTACGCTTCTTCTCCTGTGTGCTGGTGAACCAAGAGTCTAGGAGCTTCTTGCTGTAGTACAACTGCCAGGCATGCACTTGGACTGCCAACACCAACACCAGGTACATGATGGAAACAGCAGAAAAACCAAAGAGGAAACGGTAGGCCTTGCCATGGCGGTAGAGCTGCTGTGCAGCAGGGAACATCTCCATGCTGCCATAAATGAGAGGAGCGATGGAAAAGAGCCCCATGCTGATCATGGAGAGCACCAAGTAGCTAATGTTGTTGCGAGGAAAAGAGAGAAGGCCCAAAAGAGAGGGCAAAATGCTCAGCAAATACGGGTATTCCCACTGATAGGGCATGGCCACCTGATCATGTGACAAGAGCCTCAGGTGTCCCACGCTCATCTTTGCAACCAGCAGCAGCCATATGACCAGATGTACGTAGATCAGCTTCTTGATTTCATACTTGAGGGTCACACTGTGGGGCAGAGCAGAGGGAGAAGTACCTTTCAAATTTTTCTCACCACCAACTATATGCCAGGAAACTGTACTGGACACTGGGATACAAATTTGAATAAAACAGCCTAGAAGCCGGGCACAAAGAACAGAGGAGGAAAAAACTAATTAGAAAACGAAGTGAAAAAGTTCTAGTAAATATATGTTTCAAGATATATGGGAACACAGGAAGGAGGAATCACTCTGCCTGGGATGGAATGTCAGAGATGGCTGTCTAGAGGCAGGTGGTATTTGAACTAGGCTCGGGAATGAGTGAAGATGGACATTCCATGCAGGAGCACACAAGCAAAAAGACACAAGTATTTGTGTTCAGGAAAGCAAGTGGTTACGTGTGGCAATAACACATTGTAGGAGAGGAGTAGAGGGATATGAAGTCGCAAAAACTATGAAAGAGTTAGTTTAAAGGCAGAAGAGGCCAGGCATGGTGGCTCACAACTGTAATCCAAGCACTTTGGGAGGCTGAGGCAGGACTGCTTGAGCCCAGGAGTCTGAGACCAGCTTGGCAACAAAATGAGACCCCATCTCTATAAAAAAAAAATAACAATAATAATAAAATGGCAGAAGAGTAACTCAGAGCTGTGTTTAGCAAGATGACTCTGACTGCACCACAGTATTAAAGCCTGGAGGGAGAATGTATTGGCAGAGAGGAAAGGCACTCAGGCTGCTCATACTTCCCCAGCTAGATTTTTCATCTAAAGGAAGTACATACTTATTCTTCTAATTCTCTCAGGTCCCAAATGTATCCTCCTCATACCCTTAAGGGCAATGTTTCTGCTCTGGGCTAGCAGGAGAACACCTGCTTAAGTTGTGAGGCCCCCTTCCCCTGGGGCCTAGAGATGTGAAGGAAATGAGGGTTTCAAGAGCTTATCATTCTTCAAAACTCGGGAGAGAAAGATGTGAACATTCTGGGGAGATAAATGGATTTAAGGAAGTAAAAATTTTTAAATTTTTATTTAAAAACATTTACTGTAGAAAATATGGAAAGGTGAAAACAACAACAACAAAAAAAAACCCAGTCACCTCTGGACTTCGAGCTCCATGAAGGGAGGGTACAGTTTTGTTTTCTTTTGTTTTTGTTTTTTTTTTTTTAATAAAACTGTTCATTGCAAGCATAACATGCATACAAAGACCATGTCTGCTTCTGCCCCCTATTATAGCCTAGTGTCTAACACAGTGTATGATGGCTGGAAGCTCAGCAATATTGTCGAACTAGTAATCGAATGTAGAAATACCCCTTACATGGGAGTGTTTATAAAATTCATTTTAGACAAGGAATCTTTAGGAAAGGCTGCCTTTTACTGTCTGTATTCCCCCAAACGGCCCAAAATACAACACCTACCATATATTACGTGGTAGGCCTTATGCTACTTCCTTCACACGAATTACTGCTTACTCTCTCACCAAAACCTAAAAGGTAGATTATTCTCTCCCTTTGCAGATGAGGAAGCTGAGGCTCAAATTAGAAATTCGGTTTCGAAGGTGACACAGAGGGGCCAGCATCGACGTGACTTGGGAGCCCACGCGGGGCTAGATCCCGTCAAGGCACAGGGCGGATCAAGGGGTGGAGCTCGCGGGGGCGATGGGGCTTTCCAGGATTGGGGACAGGCCCGAAGCCGTCACGGGAGGAGGGGACTTGGCACGTGCGCGGGGGCTGGCTGGGGAGCAAGACCCTGAGGCCTGGCGGCGTCGTTCCCCAGGCCCCGCAGGTTCCCGCGGGGGAGAAGGCCTCCGTGCTCCTCGCCTCACTTCATACCTCATCTGGTAGTGCATGGCGACGCGCTCCCGGTGCTCAAAGTCGCTGCCGTCGGTGCCGGCCGCTCGCGGGCCTGCCCGAGACGCCATTGTGCCCGCCCAGAACCCCCGAACCCCTCACGAGGACCTGCTACCGCAGCAGCAGCGCCCAGAAGCCAGCGAACCCGACTCACGCCGCCTCAGCGTCGCCACCCAAAAGCCGCGCGGCTAGATGAAGAGCACTTCCGGCCTCTCTGTCTCTGGAGGACCGACTCTGTGATCACTCCTCCCCGCGCAGGCGCCCTCGTTCTCTCGGTCCTGTCCCGCCCAGCCCCGCCTCACGCGGAGCGCGCCGGAAATTAATCCTCAGCTTTGGCGTGTTTTTGCTGGCGCCAAGAGGCCGCCCGAACACTTTTACTTTCTTAGTCTGTACTACGTTTAGGACACCATTGTCCACCCTTCCCGGAGGGGGAAACTGATACTTGGAAGCATTCTATGACTTTCCCTGGAGCATACACACATCATTCACACAGCCTCGCAGCCTGTAATCCCAAAACTTTGGGAGGCCGAGGCGGATGGGTCACGAGGTCAGGAGTTCGAAACTAGCCTGGGCAAAATGGTGAAACCCCGTCTCTACTGAAAATACAAAAATTAGCCGGGTGTAGTGGTGGGTGCCCGTAATCCCAGCTACTTGAGTGGCTGAGGCAGGAGAATCGCTTGAACCCGGGAGGTGGAGGTTGCAGTAAGTTGAGATTGCACCACTGCCCTCCACCCTGAGGGACAGAGTACAGAGTGAGACTCCCTCTCAAAATGTTTCTCACATTTAATCATTGCAAAGAGAAAATGGGAACCTCTCAATGAGGAAATCTGGCTTGTCCCCCTTAACCAAATAGTCAGTTAATTTGATCAACAATGAGATAAACTGGTATCTTGTGCCTCTTAATAAACTAAGGACACAGCATCGCTTCTATGATGTTTCTGCCAAAAACCGCTAACTGAATCTCATCTGAAGAAATGACATAAATCCAGACGGAGAGACAGTGTAGAAAAGAGCTGGACTGTACTCAAAAACATCAAGGCCATGAAAGAAAAATTATTTCCAAATAAACGTTATCCGTAAAGACAAAGTAGAATGACGGTTGCCAGAGGCTTGAGGGGTGAGCAGGGAATGGGGAGTTAGTGTTTAATGTGTACAGAGTTTCAGTTTGGGAAGGTGGTAAAAGTTCTGGAGATGGATGGTGGTGCTGATTTGTACAACTGTATGTATGAGCTTAATGCCACTGAACCGTACACTTAAAAATTACTCACATAGGATGGGGCGAGGTGGCTCACGCCTGTAATCCCAGCACTTTGGGAGGCTGAGGCGGGTGAATCAGGAGGTCAAGAGATCGAGACCATCCTGGTCAATATGGTGAAACCCCGTCTCTACTAAAAATACAAAAAATTAGCTGGGCATGGTGGCGCGTGCCTGTAATCCCAGCTACTCAGGAGGCTGAGGCAGGAGAATTGCCTGAACCCAGGAGGCGGAGGTTGCGGTGAGCCGAGATCGCGCCATTGCACTCCAGCCTGGGTAACCACAGTGAAACTCCTTCTCAAAAAAAAAAAAAAAAAAAAGTACTCACATAGTAAGTTTTATGTTATGTACATTTTACCACAATAACAAAATGCTAAGCAAAAATTTAAAGAAAGAAGTTGTGTTATCTGAATAAAGAAAGAAAAAAGCATGTACTCTGAGCATCCATACTCTGCTATGACCTGGGGACACAGAAATCAACATGGTCCATTTCCCCTGAGGGATCACAGTCCATGAAGCTAAGAAATAGAAGAAAGCACAGTGGGCTGAGGGAGGAAAGACAAGCCCTCTCTCCCAGACCTGGAGGGTTAGGAAAGTCTCTCTGGAGTTTAAGCAACTGAGCTGAGGTCTGAAGTCTAAGTGGGAATTAGCTAAAGAGGCTGAGGCAGGAGGATTGCTTGAGCCCAGGAATTAGAGATCAGCCTGGGTGACATAGCAAGATCCTATCTCTAAAAAAAAAAAATTAGCCAGGCCAGACGGCATGTGTCTGTAGTCTCAGCTATTCAGGAGGCTGAGATGGGAGGATCACTTTAGCCCAGCAGGTTGAGGCTGCAGTGAGCCATGATCGCACCATTGCATTCCAGCCTGGGCAACAGTGCAAGATCCTGTCTCAAAAAGCAAATACAAATGATCATACAGAAAGGACACTAATGCAAAAGCATAACTGTTTAGAGCAGAGGTTTGTAGCTGTTTTTGTGCCATGAATTTCCTTGGCAGCCTAAGGAAGCTATGGACTCTCAGAATATTTTTATTTTTTATTTAATTGAATTATTTTTTGAGACAGGGTCTTGCTCTGTTGCCCAGGCTGGAGTGCAGTGTTACTATCATGGCTCACTGAGCCTTGACCTCCTGGGCTCAAGTGAACATCAGCCTTGCGAGTAGCTTGGACTACAGGCACGCACCACTATGCCTGGCTTAATTTACATTTTTTATAGAGATGGGGGTCTTGCCATGTTGCCCAGACTGGTCTTAAATTCTTGGCCTCAGGCAAACCTCCTGCCTTAGCCTCCCAAAGTGCTAGGATACAGGCATGAGCTACCACACCCGGCCTTATTTTATTTATATTTTTAGAGACAGGGTCTTGCTCTGTCACTCAGACTGAAGTGCAGTGGGGCAATCATGGCTCACTACAACCTCGAACTCCTGGGCTCAAGGGACCCTCCCACCTCAGCCTCCTGAGTAACTGGGACGTGTGCTGCCACACCCAGCTAATTTTTGTTGGTTTTTTTTTTTTATAGAGACAGTGTCTCACTGTGTTGCCCAGGCTGGTCTTGAACTCCTGGTCTCAAGCAATCCTCCTGCCTTGGCCTCACAGACTACTGGGATTACAGGTGTGAGCCACTGTGCCCTGCCCCTACCCCTGCCTTGTTTTGACTGAACAATAGCTCTTGGATGTCTTCTCCAGATCAGTACAGAGTACTTACTCTTTTTTCTTAGTGCCATTCTCTCATATGATTAGAACATAATTTACTTGACCTGCCCCCTCTTGTTGGACATTTGTGTTGTTTCTAATATTTTGCTCTTACAAATATAGCTTCAGAGAGTAACCTTGTACACACATAATTTCACTCATGGTCAAGTAGATCTGTAGTTTGGAATCCCAGAGGTGGTATTGCTGGATCAAAGAATACATTGTGCTTGAAATTTTGATAGATCTTGCCAGAATGCCTTCCATAGTGGTTATACCAATTATATTCTCACCAGCAATGTATGAGTGTGTCTGAGTCCCTGTTTGCCCACAGCCCTAGCATCAACTTGATAGTCTGATGGGTAGAGAATGGCATCTCAGTGTAGGGGTAGTTTAAAATGCATTTATGTTACTGTAAGCGTGATTAAACATCTTTCTATGTGTTTAAAGGTCATTTCTATTTCATTTCCCTGAACTGTTTTCATTTTTCTATTATGTTATAAATCTTTTTTTCTTTTTCTTTTTTATTTACTTATTTTTTTTTAGATGGAGTCTTGCTCTGTCGCCCAGGCTGGAGTGCAGTGGCATGATCTCAGCTCACTGCAACCTCCACCTCCCAGGTTCAAGCGATTCTCTTGCCTCAGCCTCCTGAGTAGCTGGGATTACAGGCGTGCACCTCCATGCCTGACAAATTTTTGTATTTTTAGTAGAGACGAAGTTTCACCACGTTGCTCAGGCTGGTCTCGAACTCCTGACCTCATGATCCACCTGCCTTAGCCTCCCAAAGTGCTGGGATTTCAGTCGTGAGCCACCATGCCCCGCTTTTTTCTTTCTTTTTCTTTTCTTTTCTTTCTTTTTCTTTTCTTTTTTTTTTTTATTTGAGACGGAGTTTCACTCTTGTTACCCAGGCTGGAGTGCAATGGCGCGATCTCGGCTCACCGCAACCTCCACCTCCTGGGTTCAGGCAATTCTCCTGCCTCAGCCTTCTGAGTAGCTGGGATTACAGGCACGCGCCACCATGCCCAGCTAATTTTTGTATTTTTAGTAGAGACGGGGTTTCACCATGTTGACCAGGATGGTCTCGATCTCTTGACCTTGTGATCCACCTGCCTCGGCCTCCCAAAGTGCTGGGATTACAGGCTTGAGCCACCGCTCCCCGCCTCTTTTTTTTTTTTTTTTAAAGAGATGGGGTATCTTGCTATGTTGGCCAGGTTGGTCTCCAGCTCCTAGCCTCAAATGATCCTCCCTTCTCGACCTCCCAAAGTGCTAGGATCACAGGCATGGGCCCCTGTGCCGGCTCAGTCTTCCTAATTTATATGTAGATACAGGTGGGACGACAGAATGAGAGACAAAGAGAGATCACCTTCTTGTCTGTGATGTTAGCTTCAATATACAGTATTTTCTTTGTTTATTTTATGCCTTTTGACTTTTTTCATGGTGTTATAAATGTAACATGCAGAATATATTTTAAACTTAATGGCTTCTCAATTTTGAGTTGTAGCTACAGTTCTGCTCCAATCCAAGGGGTCCCAGATGAATTTTCATGCACTACAGAGTTTGAGAACCATGCTCAGACACTGCCTTTCTCACTAGAATGAGAATTCCCAAAGGCAGAGATAAGAACTAAGTCATCCATGTCCCCAGCCACTCATAGTGCCTGGCATAGTGTAAAATTTCAACGTCTGTAATCCCAGCACTTTGGGAGCCTGAGGCAGGAGGATTGCTTGAGCTGGAGTTTGAGACCAGCTGGGAAACATGGCAAAACCCCATCTCTACTAAAAAAAAAAAAAAAGAAAAAAGAAAAAAAATTAAAAAAGAAAGAAATGCTGGTTGAATAGATAAATTCCAACAGAGCCAAAATTATCCCCTCTCCTAATCACTGTGAAGAACCCTTGGGTTCATCCTTTACCCCTGGCCAGTGCTATCTGGCTTTAGCTCGCAGTTATCTTTGTCTTTCTGTGTCTGCTTTTCTGTCAGGCCAGATCTCTCCTGAGTCATCCATTGGCCTATCTGTCTCAGGACACCAAGTACACAGTGAAGTAATAAATATTTGAGGCATGGCTGTCGAAGGGAGGGGCCCTGACTCTTTCTCCAGAACCACTTCCTTAAAGGGTTTTGCTTGTACCTTTCTCCTAGCTCTTGGTCTGCCCTTACGTTTAAGTTATTTTTGTTCCTGTCTCCTCACTCTGCACGTTCCCCTCTCAAATCCTTTGCATTGGTGTTTCCTTTGTCTTGATCATCCTCCAGGATTTAGTCAGGATTTAGCTCAAAGCTCACCTCCT